CTTTATCAGGAATTGTACTAGCGGACATTTGTGTTACATTCAGGCAAAGAATCTATGTTCTTCCTGTGTCCTGAAAGTCGAAATGAGGCTGAATTTAGAAGTAACATACCAATTTGTTTGGTGAAGAAAATTTCCAGTCAACACAGCATTCAGACTATGGCCATTACTATCCCATGCTTTTAGCCATATTACATGATAGACAACAGAAAGTAGAGAAGAAATATTTGAAAAGTGTCTGCTTTGAGAAGGAAAGGAACATGAGTATAGTTGTGGTCAAAGCAACTGTGGAAAAGCTAGGATAGTTAATAAAGGCATTAGTACAATTAAAGAAAAAAATCTCACATTCTGCATAAGGTGAATAGAAATGGTAAGATTTCTTGAAGGCAAGATCTCACTCATCAAAGGTTCTACCCACCCCATTCCAACAGGACCACTTAGGGAAATGTTTTCTCAGGTTCAGCTACGCAAGTGCTTAGACATCACCAGAGCTATGTTGAAAGGGAGACATCTCAAGCTAGCAGCAGAACTTAACAACAGCATCCATATGGTGCTGGCTTTGCAACCACACACAATACAATAGTTATCAGGTTAAAGAGGCTTGCATCAAGGTCCTAGAAAGCCACTGATGCTAGGCATTGCATAGAAGGGGAGGATTCCTGCATGGAGCTCCTGAGTGGACTATGCATGGACCAGTGAGGGTGAAGCATAAGATACAATAAAGATCCCAGGATGTTGAAGGACTATGGGACATTCACTTTAGAAAGTTGTAAGCAAGAGTAAGACCAAGCATACCACTGTTGGAAGAGCTGTATAGGTTCGACTCCCCAAATCTACTGGAACACAAATGATGATACTACAATCCCTAGGTACTAGACACGGAACTGAAAACTAACAACTATCTACTTCTGTCCCTTCTTCCCACAATGCCTGAAATCTCAAGGCTGGTTACCAGGAATCACAAACATATTTATCTTATTAAGGCGTTGGGTTGCTTGGACCGCACAACAGATGAACTTTGTTGACCTGGCTAAAACTGCTAGCTAGCCTTGCTTCAGTCCTGTTTTGTCCTTTTGTTCCTCCCCTTCAGAATGACCAGATTTACTCTATGCCAGGGTATTTTGAGAATGCATTTGGCTTTTGTTTCGTAGAGGTTCACAGTTATAGGATTTCCTGATCCTTGGGGAAATTCTTTTGGACTTTGGATTTTTCTTAAAAGACATATTTATTTGTATTTTATAGGTGAATGTTTGTCTTCATGTATGTGTATGTATCACATGTGTGCTGTGCGCATGGGAGACCAGAAAGGGGCACTGAATCCCCTTGAATTGCAATTACAGTCTTGAACTGTTTTGTGTCACTGGGGACCAAACTTGGGTCCTCGGCAAGAGCAGCAAGTGCTCTTAACTACTGATCCATCTCTTCAGATCCAAGATTTTGGACTTCTGATCAGTGTTGGAACTCTTAGGACTTTGGGAACTTTTACAGTAGTAAAATGCATCTTGCATTATGAAATGACCATGAGCCTGTGGGGCCAGGGTGGAATGCTGTGTTTAAATGTGAAATGTACCCCCAAACTCGTCTATTTAAGCATTAGCTGCTCAGTTGGCGGTGTCTCTCAAGAAGATTTCAGCCTTTGGAGAGAGCCTAGATAACACATGTCATCTCACAGGGCTTAAGGGTTATAGTACAGGGCACTTCTAGCCTGAGCCCTCTGCTCCCTGACCCTGAGAGACGGAGGGAACTGTACCACAAGGTTTGTCAAACGCAGACCAGAGTGAGCCCCGCCACCCTGCCTTCCCACAATTGTGGACTGTACCCCTTTATACCGTGAGCCAACTTAAGTCCTTCTTCCTTATGTTTCTATCATGTATTTTCCCACAGAGACAAGAAAAGTAATTAAAACAGTGGCTAAGAAGTCAGACTGTCACATTTGTCACTTTTTAGGCTCACCATAACACCCTGTCACTTGACAGTTGCCTGGAGAGAGGACCAATGATCCCAGCTAAATGTAGATCCCTCAACATCATTGTATGCTTTGAGGAGAGTCCACAGGCACTTTTAACTAAAATTACAACCATCTACTTCTCTCTTCACTCCCATAACACCCGGAAACCAAAAAAGTAGTCATCAGGAATCATTTTTACCTTACTAAGGCATTGGGTTGCTTGAACAGGGCAACAATAAAGCAGTCTTTGTTACATGACTATCAGACCAGAACCTGAGGAAGATGTGGAGTGTGGGCCTTCGGACTGGAAAATCAGAGACTGAAACATGTTTGACACAAGGGGGCAGGAGAGAGCACTGATAATCCAGGGTCTAGAAGGCTGTGCTGTCTTCTACTGGGGAAGTGCCTCTCTCTTAAGCAGAGCTGGGTAGTGGTAGGCAGAGAAGATCCCTCTATGAGGGATCAGATTTTGATTCCTGGTTCTTTCATCACGGCTTCTGAGGTTGTCCTTACTTAATTTAGACTGGGACAACCTCAGAGTTTTGAACAATGTATTTACTTAATCTCTCCACGCTTTTCATCTGCGGAATTGGAAGTATGGGATCTACTTTAAAGGGTTATCAGGAGGGCTGATAGGTAGCCCAAAAGATACTTGTCTAGCTTGTGCAAAGTCCTGGGTTCAATCCCCACTGTCACATAAAACCAGATTTGGTGATGCATGTCTGCGACCCCAACAGTTGGGAAACAGAGGTAGGAGAATCTGAAGTTCAAGGTCGTTCTTGCCTACATAGAGAGTTTGAGCCAGTCTGGGGTACATGAGACCATGTTATGTTTTGTTTTATTTAATTATTGTGAGGAATGAACAAAACTATGTTTCTCATTAGTATGATACCAAACACAGGGTACTTGCTCAATAAATTAATGCAATTCTAAGAGTTATGATAGAGGTACCTGCTGTCCTTTAGGACTCATTGAAGGCCCAGATAAATTGTCTTCACCTCCTTGGAGATTTCTGGTTTTGTTTGTTTGGTTTTTCTTTTGTTTTTCTTTTTTGAGGTAGTTTCTCTGTGTAACCCTGACTGTCCTGGAACTCACTCTGTAAACCAGACTGGCCTCAAACTCAAAGATCCACCTTCCTCTGCCTCCTAAGTGCTGGTATTAAAAGCGTACACCACTACTACCTGGCCTTTGGGGGATTTCTCAATGGATCACTTCTGTGAGTGCAGGGTTCCTGTTCTGACTGAACTCCAATGGTGCCCCTCTTTCAACGCTAGTGCTTTTTTATATTGCAAACTTTGTTTCCCAGTTACACTGTTAATTCCTGGAGGGAAGAATTGGTATTTGATTCATTTTTCTCTTTCTTACTTTGCCTTATATCTTGCCTGTGGTAGATAGTCAATAAGCATAAATCTTCTCCATGGATGAATGCCTGAAAACACGTGTTCAATTGTTTTATAACACAGTAACTTTCCTTAGATGTTTCTCAAAGAGCTACTGTACCGATCTTAAGGGACAAAGCTCAGGACAGTGAAGCAGCCAGCACTGGTGTGAGAGCTGCCTGTTGGTTTGGATTGGCTCTTCAGCAACGCCTAGAAGATGTGAATAAACAGCAAATGCCCCTTGAGAAGCAGCTTGACTGGCCCATCTGGACAAAGGGCCAAATTCTAGACCATAGATTTCAGCTCAAGTGACTAATCTGATGATTCATGGAAAGGGAAGAACCAAACCAGATTTCATAATTATTGGAGCAAGAAAGGGACCAGAGCAAATGGTATGAAATTGCCATGTGTGTAGAACGTTAGTCTTCCCAAATGATTCGACCTTAGTAGTTATATTAAATCTTTGAACATCTGGGCAACATATTCTGATAAGGAACAACTTGTCACAAGGCCTGACATTCTATGAAGGGGAGTGGACTCTCCCTGTCTTCCCTGTTCTGAATTACTGACTTTACATCTGTCAGCAACATCCCTATATAGTGAAGTGTCATTTTAGAAGGGCAGCTAAGTGCAAGTCATGACTTGTACCTGTAGAGGCACCAGATGGGTCCCAGGGAGAATGAGAACAAGACTCTGAGCCAGCATGCATGCTTCTGCCAACTCCCACTGCCTTCTCTCCCCTTGGCCTATTCACCTCTTGCTGAACCTGAGATCCCCTCCAAGATGTTGCCTTCTCTGCAAAGGATTACCCAAGGCCACATAGACATGATGGCCCCTATCATGCTACTTTGAAACCGTCTTGCTTATCTCCACCATGCCCGGAACTTCTTAGACAACCTGAGAGTTCATGGTGGGTGGAGAGGATGGCTTCATTTCAATTTACTTTTAACCCTTGGTGATGATCACAATTTTCTCATGACAGAAAAAAAAAGTAGAAAAATAATAAGAGGAGTGGTTCAGTACAGCAAGGAACGCAATGTGCTTTGGGAAGGATTTTCCCCGGGAAGCCTAAGTCTTAATTGCTGTTCTAGCTCTGTCTAATCCGAGAAAAGGGGTGTGCACCCCTGAGTGTGTAGAGAGAAGGGGATAGGATGAGAGTTCTCGTTATCAACCCAGAGACTTTAGTGGTAATGCAAGAGGGTTGGGTTGGCAGGGTCTTCTTTTCCTCAGAGGTTCTTCGGGCTTCAGGCATTATCCCCCTTCTCCAGCCTGGTGAATGGTCTTTGGTCCTTCACCCAAGACCAGGGTATCACACTGCATATTGCTCACAGTTGAAGTTACCTGTAAATTTCATCCTTGGTCACAGGGCTGAAGGATTTTCCAGGTCATAACTCCTAGAATTCTATTCTCGTATGGGTGAAAACAATGGGATGGATGGATGCCAGTAAGTACCGTTCGAGGACATTAGTATAGGGATTCAGAAGAATGCAGTTAATATTTTCTGTCACCTGTGACTCCCATCACCTTTCTTTGCCTCCCCCTCAGGAACTCACTCTCTGAGATATTTTTGTTTGGTTGTTTCGGATCCTGGCCCTGGAGTCCCTGATTTTATCTCTGTTGGGCACGTAGACTCATATCCTATCACTACATAGGATGGCGTCACTCGACAGAAGGAGCCAAGGGCTCCATGGATGGCGGAGAACCTGGGACCTGATCACTGGGAGAGGTACACTCAGCTGCTGAGGAGCTGCCGCAGACGTTCAAGATGGAGCTGAGTCACCTACAGAGGCACTACAGCCACTCAGGCATGATTGCAGCAGATGAGAGCTTCTAGCTTACTCCCCAGAAGAAGGATTGTAGGCCGCCAATGGCTAATGTGACCAGTTGCTCATATTCTCTGTAGTCCTTGGCAAAACCCAGAAAATCAGGTGGGTGGAATTCAGACCCCACCATCTTCTCTGTGGCTCTTCTACACTATCCTTCTATGAAAACCCATTGTCCCTTGACCCCATATTCCTATCCCATTGGCATTCAACAATTTTCTCCTTTATCATTTTAAATTTTCCCATCTTGGGTCTCATTCTCTGACGGTTAGACTTCCTAATTTGCTTATTTCTGCACGGAAACATACTATATAAATTGTCCCAGAGATGTTTCTGGCTTCTGCATATCTCTTGCTCCTATACTGCATTCAGAAAAGCTAGGGAGTTTGTCAATGAATCATTCCAAAGATTGGATAATTCCCCAAGGCAGGCATCATCGTGACCCTTTGGTATGCAGTAAGTACCCCATCAATGTCTGCTAGTAGATGGGTCTGCAAAACAGGAACCTTCCAGAACCCAAATATACGGGCCTGTGTGGTGATGTCTTCCAGAGCAAAGAATGCTTCCCACCATGCTCCAGTTGCATCATCCGTGAAGCCCCGTCTCTGCTTTCACCCATTCTTCCACAGCTTCACACTTATCAGAAAACGATGGGCTGCGAGTTGTTGAAAAATGGTAATGCCACAGGTTTCTCCAATATGCATATGATGGACAAGATTTCATCGTCTTCAATAAAGACACCCTCTCCTGGCTGTAGATATTGTGGCTCACATCACCAAGTGGACGTGGGAGGCCAATCTGCAGGAGTTGCAATGCTAAAAGAACTGCCTGGCTATAGAGGTTCTTGGAGTATGGAAAAGACACCCTAGAAGGAATAGGTAAAGAGAAGAGAGAACTGTGTTCTCACATCCCTAGAAAAACCGACTTCGTGTCTAACTTCTTCTGCAGGTGATACTCATCCTGTGCTGAAATCCATCTCTTGGTTGGACTGTTCTGACCTGTGAACCCCCAAGAGAACTCTCATCAGTTATATTTTTAGCAGCATCGTGACAAGCCTTAGCAGTTCCACTTTTCTTGACAGAATGTGGTGCCTCCAAGGGCACCTCTATCAAGAAAAGTCCTCCGTCTCCTGTCAGGGAGAGGATGGGCAAAGCTTTTGAGAGTGGGACAGTTGTTGCAAATTATTTAAGAAGTAAGGGTTCACACAATCCTGGTGTGAGGGAAAAGGGTGTGAAGAGGAGCTTACAAAGACTGGCTTTCCCTTACTTGGGGATTAACAGCTCATCTTCTGGATACACAGCTCGTCTTCTGCCATAAATACATGGTCCTACTGGTCAACTTCAGCAGAATCCAGAATGTTTCGTGTTTGATGGGATGATTCAAATGTTTCAGGCAATCCCTGGACATTATAGACCTTTTCCCATGAGAGTAATGTCCAGCTGGAGGGACTTTTCAGAGCCGGGGCCAACCCGGGTAGAGAGGAGGGGTCTGGACCATGGTTGTAAGTGTGTGTTGTCCATCAAAATGTACAAGCTTTGCAGGCAGATGATTAGAGTCTCACGATTGCTTTCCTCCCTACTTGCAGAATACCTATCATAGGTTCAGTGGTTGCACTTAACAACTCCATTTCTTTTCTTTCTTTTTTTTTTTAAAGGCTTATTTATTTATTATGTATACAGTGTTCTGTTGTGTAGCACAACAGAAGAGGGCATCAGATCTCATTATAGATGGTTGTGAGCCACCATGTGGTTGCTGAGAATTGAACTCAGGACCTCTGGAAGAGCAACCAATACTCTTTAAAAATTTTTTTTTCTAATAACATTTTTTATTAATCTATTTTTTACATTCCAATCCCAGTTCCCCCTCCTTCCTCTCCTCCCACTCACCCCACTCCCCCTCTCCTCCCATCTGCTCTATGGAGAGCATAAGACCTCCCCTAGGAAGTCTACTAAGTCTGTCCCATCATCTAGTTGAGGCAAGACCAAGGCCACTTTCCACACCCAGCACCCCTGTGTCTAGTCTGGACAAGGTATCTCTCCATATAGATTGGGCTCCACTAAGGCAACCAGTACTCTTAACCTCTGAGCCATCTCTCCACCCCTTAATAACTGATTTTATTTTTTAGAGACAGGGTTTCTCTGTGTAATCCTGGCTGTCCTGGAACTCACTCTGTAGATCTGACTGACCTTGAACTCAAAGAGATTCGCCTGCCTCTGCTGGGATTAATGGTGTGTGCCACCACTGCCCAAACAAGCCCATTTCTAACAGGCTTGGGCGGATCCTACTTGAAAACAGGAATCAGAGCAGCATGGGGACCTAAGAAACCAAAACCAATATTTGAATGCCTTTCTTCATGGGGGTGGAAGAGGGGGGTTGAAACTACCAGCACAAACGTCACACTTTCATGGCTTCTCCATTCCACAAGTCAGGCTTCTGTCTCTGAGCACTTGCTGCCTAAATAGATAAACCACGAAAGAACTGTGACTGGTCTGAGTCGGATTGTATGTGGCCTCTTTAGCTAACCATCAGAACAAGCTTCAAAGGTTTTCACTGGGCAACAAAGTTCTGGCAAGAACTAATGGCACAGCCAACATGGTCTAACCAGGGATCCTTTACAAGGGGCCTAGTGGGGATCCCAGGAAGGGGTGGTGAGGAGTCATAAGAGGTCCAGTATGGGAACACCACTGCAGCAGCATGATCTGAGGGGCAGGGAGAGGAGAAGACATCGCTGTCAGAGCCCAGTAGGAGTTGGCGTGTGGAAAGGGGATCTTTACCATGAAAGATGTGACTGTGGAGGAATGTGACTCAGGGAAGGACGGCAGTGGGGTAAGTTGGTACCTAAGTAGCTCGCTGCCCTTTGCCTGAGGCAGTCCAGCTGCAAACCAGGGACAGAGCAGCTCTAGAGATATAGTGTAAAGGCCTAGTCAGACCACAGTGGGTCAGGGGCTAGATCTGGGGGCCCACAAAGAAACACTGGCTGTTACACACTGTTTGAGTGATGGCTGAAGAAGAGGAATTAAGATGAATACTTCATAGGAGCCCATGCTATAGAGGGTTACAGTTATGTCTCAAAGGGTGCTGTTATTTGGCAGGAGTCTCTCCTGTCAGCAAAAAGTGAAGCTTCTAGGAGGTAGACCAGCAAAGCCACAGTCTTGAGTAAAATAGGGTAATAGTGCCCACTTCATAGAAATTAGTGAAAATATTATAGATGAAAACGCTTGCTAAGTTTTTGGGTTCTTCTTACATATTAAATATTACTGCTGCCTGACTGAAAATGTCTGATAGCCTAGATATGGTTGAAATCTACGGTCAATCAGGGCCACCATTAACCACTAAGATATTTTAGTCTGGATCTCTTCAGATAGGAAAAGGGGAAATACGAATTTACTTTCTGATTAGGGTATGTCTGCCACATACCTAGCTGTGTTGGCTAATTTTTCATTATTATAACGGAATGAGTGAAACAAATAACTTAAAAGTGGGAAAGATGGCTCACAATTTCAGAGGTTTGGGCCCATCCTGGTGGGAAGGGTGTGGTGAAGCAGTTTACATCACAGTGCACAGGAAGCAGAGGTGGGGAGAAGGGCAAAGGCAAGATTCAGCCCCCAGGGATTCCTCACACGGTCCTACTTCCTTCAGCTGGGCCCTGCCTCCTAGAGCTTCCAGAACCTCCCAAAATAACACCAACATCTAGAAGCATGGATTTAGAACATGAGGCCTGTGAGGAACATTTTTATATTCAAAGCACACCAGTAGCATTTACCGCAAGTCACCTGGCCAGTTGCTTGTCCTGAGTACAGTGCTGGGCAAAGGGTAGGAAGACACAACCAAAGTCACTAAGTATTGAGGTTTAGAAGTCACTAATTCTGTTGATTCGTCCTGGCTCAAAAGCTCTTTGGATCAACTAGGAGGAACCTGGGTTGTGTGGGAAGAATGTGGAAAGTTTGACTTACGTTTACGTGGTCCCCATTTCCTATCTTGAGTGTCATAGTGGTGTCTCAGCCTTTGGTCAAAACCCATGTCTTGGGAGGTAGAGTCATTTCTTGCAAGCACAGTAAAAAAATAAATAATGCATAAATTTAAAAAATGAAATTAAAAATTCTTTTAGCAGTATATTTATCTTGAATGTTGGAAAGTCTTTCCTACATGCCTCAGGGAAAAGACTCTTCCCTGTGTCCACAATGTCAAACAATGAGGTGGAGATAAGGAGGAGATCTCACAGATGAGTAGGAAAGCCCTCCAGAAAGTGCGGTTGGTTTTGACATGGCTCCATGACCAGTCTGAGCTGGGAACGTTAAGACAATACCATACAGAAAATGAACGTAGTCAGTCATGAGGAAGCAAGCTCACCAATGGATCACCCTGAGGTGGTCATGGTGGTGCACACCTGTCATCCCAACATTCAGGAGGCTGAGGCAGGAAGACTTCGAGCTCAAGGCCATCTTTGGACATAGAGATGATATCCCCTCCCTCTCTTCCTTTCTCATCGTTGTTAGATATAATATTCATCTCTATAGCTTCTCTGAGGGCACATGAACTATGGCATGTGCTTTTATCTGATTACAACTACCAGAATACCAATCTGATAGCATGGTGCTATTCAAAGCCCCCAATGACACGAGTTAGCTGTGTTTTTTTATAGTCACTTAAAGAAGAATTGGGATCTACTGCCTTCTAATCTCCCAACCCCTTGGCGAATTACTTATCAAGACAATCATTTACACATGATGTGGCTTACTTTTCCTTAACACATAAGGATATTTCACAAGTAAACAGTTAACAACTCCAAAACACTCTTCAAATATTTGATGCTATATGTCTTTTCTCCTCTTAGAAGACAAAATGTGGCCCAGCTCCATGGGTTCCCTTACCTCTTCCCTAGCAGGAAGTCTGCAAAATCCAAATTTACTGTTGAATCTGGATTCTGGTTCACTCTCAGCTTTAGATATTTCTTGCAACAAAGAAAATTAACTCCCACACTTGGTTCTGTGTTTGAACACTGTATCTTCAGTACTCAAGACTCCCCCCACCACCACTTATCTGTGCCTACTTCTCTCTAGAGCCTCCAGTGGTCAGAACAAGTCGAAAGGAAACTTTTCCAGGGACTACAACTCTCTTCTGCAGAGCTCATGGCTTCTACCCACCAGAAAGTTCCATGACGTGGATGGAAAACGGGGAAGAATTGCCCAAAAGAGTGGGTTATGGAGGCGTGTTTCCCAGTGGGGATGGAACCTATCAAATGTGGGTGTCGGTTGATCTAGATCCTCAGAGCAAAGACATTTATTCTGGTCTCCAAATGGTTCTTGAGGCCCCTCAGGGTAAGCGTGTGGGTTGTCTGGGAAGTGAGACTGGGGAACGAGATAGGAGGCTGTGAACCCTGCCAGGAACTGAGGCTAGATCACTGCCTCACCAGGTGGTGGGACAGCTTTTTTTTTTAAGATTAAAAAGAAAATTATTCTTAACTAAGCTGAGCTATTTCTCAAGATCAAACATAGTTCTTTTCAATCAGTGTTTCTCAGTGTTTAGTTCTCACTCTCTTCCATACTCTTATGAATTACTGAGGACCTCAAGCAGCTATCGTTTGTATGGGTGATCCCGTTGCTGTTTACTATATTACAAATTGCATTTTTAAAAATAGCTGGGCAGGGCCGGGTGATGGTGGCGCACACCTTTAATCCCAACACTTGGGAGGCAGAGGCAGGCGGATCTCTGTGTTCGAGGCCAGCCTGGTCGACAGAGCGAGTCCCAGGACAGCTAGGGCTACACAGAGGAAGCCTGTCTTGGGACTAAATAAGCAAATGAGTAGGAGATAGTGCAGGCACATGTTCCACTTGCCATCAGAGGTGAGGGAGCTGAGATGATGGTGGCACCTCCTGATGATCACAGTGACACGGTTAATGCAGGTGGGAGAAGCACCTTGGATGTATTTCCCCTTTGCTTACAGAATCAGAAAGCATTCTTCTAATGGTGAACATGATCTCTGGGACCATAGTCCTCACCATTGTCCTGGCTGGCGTTGGTGTTCTCACCTGGAAAAGGCTGCGAGGTGAGAGGCGTGAAGGACTCTAGGGGGCTCCCTGTGGTCTCCTTACTGTACCTGCCGTGTGAGTTCCATTAGAAATGGATTGAGTCTCATGTTGGGATCATTGGAGGACCTGGGACAATTTTCCCCCTCTGTAGAGAAAATGTCTGTTAATTTTACCATTTTCACAGTCGTTTTTCTATCCCAATTATATGAAAGTCCTCCTCAAAAATACCTTTCTCGGAATATGAAATGTTTAAAAGTAGGTGCCTTTGGAAAAAAGGACTTGAGATAAGGAAAGGGGGGAGGAGAAGCAGGAGCTATGATGGCATAGACAATAAATCCACTCATTAACCATGTCCCAAATGTCTCTTGCGCTTTAATACCATACTGCCTCAAGGGAGACAGCCATGGAAAAGACAGATATGACCCCATGACATACAGCTGATGGCATAGTCTTGAAAGGTCATTTTCTATCTCTGGTTTACTAGTTACTCAAGCTGTCACAGCAAATATCAGTGAAACTGGATCAGGCTCAGCAGCTGGGTGGGCAGGAGCTTGCCTTTTCCTGACAGCCATGGGCTTGAACCCAATCTAAGTGATAATGTACATGTGTGGTACTAGGTACTAGTAGGACCAATCTATTTGCTAGAAAATCAACTTGGATAGTGGGCGGGTGAGTAATGTTTCCATTATAAACAGAGTACAATATGAATCCTAAACCAATTAATACATGCATCTTAAGAAGAAAATTCCTGCTGTTTATCTTCTGAAGTTTTTAAATTAAGTTTTGTCACGTTCTAAGAGAATCTTGAGAAAGGCTAAAACTGTCAGTGGCTGCTTCTAGATTTTGCTGAATATTGTGTAATTTTTGAGCTGTGAGGAAAAACACATCTAACTGACTGAAAACTTCTTTTCCTTTCAGAGTAAAAAGAAGTCATCTACCATCCCACTCAAATCAGGGAGCACAGCTCTCCCTCTTAGGAGGGCACCCAGATGTCTGTTGTCAGAAGTCTCGGCCATACTCCTGACACAATGGGGGATTAGAGAAGTGAGCATATGTGATAAGAAGACAGGAGCTACAAATTGTTCAGGTTCTTGGTGGACTCCGTTATCGCCATCAGCTCTAAATACAGTCTGTCTCATGACCGAGCACCTCCCAGCATCTTATTTCTCCATGGTGATTACAAGGAGATTACAGAATCTTAGAGCTGCAAGGAACTTTTTCATCCTAGCAGGAGATGTCTTCCTATAATGCTGTAGGCTTGAGCATCCTGCCTTCCCGTGACACCATGTGCGGAGATGCCATTCCACCCCAACAGACTTTCTAGTTCATCTTCTCTCGTGAGAGTGTTTACCATGTAAGAACTTTGACTATCATGTGAATCTCTAAGGAGGGTTGGAGCGGCCTACGAGAACAGCCAGCAAGTTTCTACAGCAGCCTGCGAATGGACTAATCGTTAAATGCATATCGTGGCCCAACAGGAAAAAGAAGCATCCTGTTCCTGACGACTCTATCATGCAGCTTGGAATATTGGAAGTGGGTCTGACTAGATCTATGGCAATGGCTTCACTTTTACCACTTCTGTGAGAAATTAGAACAGTAATTTGTCAGCCGGGCGTTGGTGGCGCATGCCTTTAATCCCAGCACTCGGGAGGCAGAGGCAGGCGGATCTCTGTGAGTTTGAGACCAGCCTGGTCTACAAGAGCTAGTTCCAGGTCAGCCTCCAAAGCCACAGAGAAACCCTGTCTCGAAAAACCAAAAAAAAAAAAAAAAAAAAAAAAAAAAAAGAACAATAATTTGTCAAGCTGAATGTGATGGGCCACAGGAAGCTGAGGCAGATAAGTTTGCTACTGGTTTGTGCTACACAATGAAACCCTATCTAAAATAAAAACAAAAACAACCCTTAACAGAACAAAACCAGTAATAACCAGACATATTATCACCTCCCGTGCAGCTACAGAGACCTAGACTAACTTGCAACATTACTGGGGATGGCTCAGTGGGTAAAGATGCCTACTGCCTAGCCTGACCACCTGAGGTCAGTCATGAAGACTCACAGTGTGACAAAGAGAACTGACTCCTGAAAGTTGTCCTCTGGCCTCACATGAGTATTCTGGCACAACATACGATAAATAAGTAAATGTAAACAAATCTTAAAATATGATAGCATGCTTATATGTCAAAAAGAATCATCCCTGTCTCCCACCCCTACCCCCACCCCTACTCTGGTGTTGGAGATTGAATCAGAACAGAAAAGACAAAAATTAGAATTGAACTTTTGGGAGCTGGGGGTGTAGCTCAGTGGTAGAGAGCTTGCTTAGCATGTGTGAGGCCCTGGGATCATTCCTCAGCTCTGCAAATACACACACACACACATACACACACACACACACACACACACACACACACACACACACACACCATCACCACCACCACCACCACCACAACAACAACAAACAAAAACTAAAACTTTAGATCTTTCTTTTTCTGTGGTTTAAAATTATATTGTTTCTGAATACCAGTAGACTTGTCACTTAATTAATTCATGTTTACTGACTATAGATGTTCAGTAACTGAGGCTTATGAAAAATGTGACACCATAATCTAAGTGTGACAGAGAATTTCGCTACCACTTCAATTATGCTTTGGCTTTGAGTCATCTGTGCAGAATATTTTACGTCAAGAACACTACATGAAGAACCTGTTTGACTGGCTTTGTTTTAAACTCCACAACATTTACTACCTGCTTTCTTTTTAGCATGTACAGACCAAGGTTTTGTCCAGAAAACAGCAAACAGAGCAGGTAAGAAGGAACCAGTTGACAAGCAGTATGGGCACTGGGCACATTGCTCAGTTGCTAGACTGCTGGATTAGCATTCAGAAGCCCTAGGTTCAGTTCCAGGGCAACATAGAACTGGGCATGACAACACATACCTGTAATCCCCACACCTGAGAGATGGAGGCAGAAGGACCAGGGGTTCAAAGTCATCCTCAGCTACATAGGGAATTTGAGGCCAGACTGAGATCCGTGAGACCCTGTAAAAATAATAATAAAATAAAAGCAGTGTGGTGACAGGATTCTTGATGTCCTCCTTTATATCTTCCTGTTCCAACAATTTCCATGTTCTGACCCCTCCCTTATCTCTGAGGAATTGCTGGCTTTTTCCTGTCCTCGATGTTTTTGGATGGGGAGAAGAGTATTTTTGTTTTGTGTCATAAAGTCCATTAGCTGATCATTTTCTGGCAGGGTCCCATGAGGAAGTCATATTTTGGTCACCTCAGTCTGAGGCTTTGTCCTCATGTGTGCAGGTCAAGTGTCCCCATGAGGGAATCAGATGGCTGCATTAGGAGGAATGCCAAATGTCAATGCACCCACTTGCTGTCAGGAGCCGAACTGCCAAATGGGTCAGGGACTAGTTTCAACCAAGCAACACATCTTCTAGTGGGAGAGTTCACATGAGAACAAGCACGTCACTTATTTAACCTTTATCTCCCTGTAAAATCTCTGCATCTTCCTTTCACCATGGGCTGCCTTTTTTCACAGTCCTTCTAGCTTCTAAACCCACAGGCTGTGTAACAAACCCCCAAACCTAGTTGCTTAAAACAGCAGTCATTCCAGGATCTTTCATGGCTTCTATAGGTGAGGGATTTGGGTAGGACGTGGGCAGACAATGCTAGCTTGTAGCCTTTTGTGGAACTGTAGACAATCGGTGGCCAGAAGTAAACCAGCGAAGGACTACGGAAGCTGTGGGTACAAGAAGATTGCCTCTTTCTAAGCTAAGCTTCGCTGCCAGGTGTGTGTGTGTACTTGTGGTGACATTTTGTTTATGATCTAACAAATAAAGCTTGCTGAAGATCAGAATGCAAAGTTAGCCACACTAGTTAGCCATAGAGGCCAGGCAGTGGTGGCATATGCCTTTAATCCCTGCATTTGAGAGACAGAGGCAGATGGATCTCTGTTAGTTGAGGCTACCCTGAGCTATATGACATTGATCCAGTATAAAAGAGAATCAGAGCTCACACAAAGGTGATCCCAGTGCTTGGGATCCCATGCCTTTAATCCCAGCACTAAGTAGGTGGAAACAGGGGTGATATGGCTGGGCAGAGAGAGGAATCTAAGGCGGGAGGAGACAGGAGATGTAGTCTGAGGAACAGTGCAATCTGAGGACGCAGTCTGAGGACAGGATGGGCCCTTTGGTCTGAGCACTGGTAGAGGTTAAGGACTCTCTAGTGACTGACCGATTTACTTCTCTGATCTTCAGCATTAACCCCAATATCTAACTCTGAGTTGTTTTTTTTAATAATTTAACTTTATTTTATGTGTATTGGTGTGAACTGAAGTTACAGACAGTTGTGAGCTGCCATGTGGGTGCTGGGAATTGAACCCGGGCCCTCTGGAAGAACAGTCAGTGCTCTTAACCGCTGATCCATCTCTCCAGTCCCTGAGCTTTTATTATTAGTAACAATTAAAATTTGTGCTACAGGGACTCTATGTTGGCTCTCTATGGGGGATAGTTTGAGCTTCCCCACAACATGGTGGCCTTGGAGCAGTCGTTCTGAAGGTGGTAGTAACCCCCCTCACCTGGTTATCACTTTTGCCATACTCTTAGTTGGCCAAGAAAGTCACTGAAGCCTGCTCGGTTTCAAGGTGAAGAGGCGCAGAGCCAGACACTCAATGGTAAGACTGTCAAAAGAACAGTTTGAAGAGCATATTTAGACAGGGGTCGCTGTTTGCCTAACAGGCTTTACTAGAAAGCCAGAGATTTCTAGTGCCTCCATCTTTGCCTCTTAGCGTGAAGGTCGAGTTCTCCCGGAGGGGGAATGGTGATGCCTGCCAGTGGGTTAAAAAAGCTAGGACCCCAGAAAGAGTGTAGGCTTTCTGAACCAAGGAAGCATTCTGAGGCTTTCATTGTGGCCTCCTTTGTCCAGGTCCCCTCTTCTTCCCACAGCTGGCAGGGCTTAGGGAAAATGCAACACATGCTCGAGTAGCTTCTCATGTAGAAAGAGAAGCTGTCTGTACTCGCCACGAAAAGTTTGTTGTAGATCTTGTTGGATTAAAACACAAAACTTTGCCCAGTTTTTCCGTTTCTGTCCTGTGAACCAGCAGAGCCACAGCTAACCCATAGAGGACAGTTGTGGTCAAGAAGCCTGTCGAAATGTCTTAGTTAGGGTTAGTATTGGTGTGATGAAATGCCGTGACTAAAAGCAACTCAGGGAGGAAAGGATTTGCTGGAGTTATACTTCCACATCATAGTCGATCACTGGAGGAAGTCAGGACAGGAAGTCAGGGCAGGAACCTGGAGGCAGGAGCTGATGCAGAGGCCACGGAGGGATGCTGCTTACTGGGCTTGCTCCTCATAGCTTGCTCAGCCTGGTTTCTTTTCCTTCCTTCCTCCCTTCCTTCCTTCCTTTCTTCCTTTTTCTTGAGACATGGTTTCTCTGTGTAGTCCTAGTTGTCCTGGAACTCTCTCTGAAGACCAGGCTGGCCTCAAACTCTCAGGAATCTGCCTGCCTCTGTCTCCTGCATGCTGGGATTAAAGGTGTGTTCTACCACCACCGGGCTATTAGCCTGCTTTCTTGTAGGACCCAGGACCACCACCAACCATGGGCTGAGCCATCCCCCACCAATCACAATTAAGAAAACGCCCTGCAGCTGGATCTCATGGAGACATTTTTCTCTCTTGAGGGTCCCTCTCTTCAGATGATTCTAGCCAGACCAGCCGGGTGTTGGTGACACATGCCTTTAATCCCAGCACTCGGGAGGCAGAGGCAGGTAGATCTCTGTGAGTTCGAGGCCAGCCTGGTCTACACAGCGAATTCCTGGACAGCCTCCAAGACAATACAGAGAAACCCTGTCTTGAAAAACAAAACAAAACAAAACAAAAAACTAGCCAGACCAGATCACGTGGCTTGACCTCTCAAACACAAAGTGGGCATTGACCTCACTTGCCCTTTGGGTAGGGGATCCCTGTGTAGGCTGCACTTTATCCAGCAACTCATTAGAAACCATTAGAAACCAAACAGACCCAACATGGAAGTAATCAGATTCATTTGGAAGGGAGGAGTGCTGGTGGGAATAAAAAGGTCAGTTCACCCAACAGGATAGAAGTGAATGCCTTCCTTATTTCATCCAGTCAAAATTATTCCAACCATTTTACATAATCACAGTGTTTATCTGTAACAATCTATTTTTAAACTCTTTATATAACACTTCACGGTCTGCTTCCATGATGCCTTGTATGTAGTAGAAACTCAGTAAATGCTTCTTGAATGAGTCAGTACAGTATTTTGATTAGCTAGTCTTCATGTACTGGATCAAAAGAACAGTGTCATCTTACAGCTGAGGTCAGAGAGGAGAAATAGCCTGAGCCACTTCAGGGCCTGAGGGTTGACAGGCCATGGCTTCATCTGAATTCTTGATGGGTTTCAACAGCACTAACTTGTTTAAAAATGACATCCATTGGTTTGTATATGAGTGGGGGTGGGGGCAGAGCACATGCACGCCACGGTGGAAGGCTAAAGCCAACTTGGTTTGGTCCTCTTCACCATCTAGATCAGACTCAGGTTGTTACCCTTGGTAGCAAGTGCCTTTGCCTGGTGAATCGTCTTGCCAGTTCAACATTCTTTGTTTAATAAACTTTCATATGACACACACCCCCACC